TTCCCTTTCCCAGAAGAATATCGCCCCCAGAAAGCGGCGGGGTGCTCGAGATGGATTCGGAAATTTGCCAAAGTTCCGAGAAAAGCAAGTGTTCGTTGGACACGCAGTCCCGAGAGTCTGCGCGAGGATTAAGAGGATATCGATGCGACGGACCATTTTGTCGGAAACGTCGAATACGGCGCCTCGCCGGAGGAGATCCCAGGCGGCACTTCCAGAGTTGCGGGTCGATAAATCGGGTTACTATCTTGCTCGATAAGTTCACTGGCCATCCCCAAGGGGTTTGTCTCACCTTTCCTTTCTTCTGGTTATGCTGCCAGCCCTTGTGTTATTATGGTTTTAACTGGTGGTTTTTCTTTAATTTCTTTCTTTCTTTTTTTTTTTTTTTTCTCCTCGCTGTTTCTGTGTTTGCTCTCTTAAAATTCACTCCGCGCTGCCTGGGCAAGAGATGGAACGCTAATTGGTATAAATACACACAGGTATGCGTATGTGGAATTCACGGAGCCGAGTCTTGTGGCTCAAGCACTTGTTTTGAATGAGAGTGTCTTTCGCGGGAGGAACCTGAAGGCGAGAAAACTACCTCTTTCCCCATCTCTTTTACTTCCTTAATTTACTATCTATATCCATAGAACTACGTTACTAACATAAGCCAACCTCTACGTATTGTTCCTTATTTCAGGTCGTGCCCAAACGAACCAATTTACCAGGAATGACCCGAGGCCGGGGCCGGGGCCGGGGCATTGGTCGCGGCGGATTCGGACGTGGGGGATTCCCTCCTCGAGGCGCCTATCGTGGAGGCTATCGGGGTCGGGGCAGGGGATATGCACCATACTGAAAACTGAGCCTGTCTAAAATAAAAGAGAAGGCAAGAAATTTCTTATTTACATTTCGTCCGCGGCAATATACATCCATTTCGCAATTGAGCCAGAGGGAAGCACTTTGTACTTATTGGAGAGAACGAAAAGGAACTGCAGGGGGTGGGGGACGAACAAATATGGCCCAGTATTCCACCAAGACTCCATCCATATCTCCCTTTGCGCCAGGCATGGAAACCGAATAACATCGAACACTCAGCGTTGGGAGTGCGGTGCGGTGCGGTGCGGTGCGGTGTGTGTGGTGTGTATGAATATGATATGATATGGGGGATATGATGTTGAATTCTTTCAATTCATATATTTCTGTTTTTTTTTTTTTTATAACAAAAAAAAATCTTGAATCTGAAGCAAAGGCGATAAAAGAGAGAGA